CATGCATTGTGCAGGTCATACCCTCGATGCGGTCTTTAGTACGGAACATTATTCATTATTCATTATTCCTTGTTGACTGGATTTTCACAGGTCTGAAGCTGCAGGATCCATTCTGGAATGGCTCTTGATTGCTTCCAGGCGGCTTTGAGACCCCAAGTGTGAAAACATCCAGAGTGCAGATCTTTGGCAAGCCCCCCACTACATGAAAGCTTTGTCTATAATTCCCATGTTAAAATTAATCTAGATGATTAATTTCCATTTAAATCAGAGAGAGATTTGAAATCTGAATTTCTTCTGAAATTTACTGTCTCTGAAAGATAAAATTTCCAGAAATTTTGAAACCACAGGAGGAGAAAAGTACATTCTTCTTTGTGGGCTTAGTAACTTAACAAATGGGTTAGATTGCAACTGTGCAGTGTACTGTTCAGAACCTTCCAGAATCTCATAGTAGTATTTTGGTGGTAGTCACATCCATCTCCAGTAACCCTATATTAGAGGCTTGCTACTGAAATTGCCACTTCCTTTTCATGCACCACTGCTGCAGTTCATGAAGAAGTGAACTGTTGAACTACTTTCACTTTTGATTATGACCCTTGCCTGATTCAAACTTGGCTTCGCTGGCCTCTTTGAATTGTCATGCATTTGGTGGTCGAAAACATGCTTGCCCTTGGGGCTCTACTTTCTTGCTGACATCATTCTTGTCTCCGTTTGACTTCCATGCAGATCAGGCCTTCTCACTCTGTACTGAGGTCAGATCAGACACCCTGACCTTGACACCCTCAGGCTTATGGCATGGAGGATTGTTCACAAGCATTCTTGCCAGTTGCAGTTTCTGTGAACTCTCACCTGCTTGGGAAGTCTTATTGGTTTTCTTGAAAGTCTATAAGAACATCTACCCTCCAGTGTTGGACCCAATGCCATGGTGAATCTTGGAACTCACCTTTGTGGGAAGCCTGTTGAACCTTCCACCCCCAATTGCACCATCTAGAGACCTGACATTGCTGTTTTGCCTAAGTGTCTGCTTTCCATGTGTCTGCTTTCCATGTCAACCAGGACATTGTTCTCTTGCCCTTTATGCAGAATCCCACTTTGTCATTCAAGAGGAAGTTGTGCTGTCTAGATGTGTGGAGGGCTTTAGCCTTCTAGGTCAAAAGAACTTGCCTTTTAGAATTCACAAAGACTCTTTGTGTGCTGCTCTTCAGTGAAGAAAGGACTGCCTGTTTTGTCACAGCACTTCTCAAAGTGGGTAATATCAGCTATCCATCTCAGCTTGAATTTGAGCTCATTCCACATAGGCTGTTGCCATGTCTTCTGCTTTTTTGGCTGGTATATTGCTGGACATTTGTCAGGCAGCTATTTGGTCATAGCCAATGATTTTTATAACCTATTACAGAGTGGACTTGAGGTCTTGAGTTAATACAGACTTTGGGAGATATGTACTTTATTCTTCCATATCTTGACTGTATTATTGATGTTTCAGGACAATTTCCTATCTTTTGAAACTTGGTTTTGAATTGTGTATTGCTGTTTCAGATCAGTTATTTCTTCTGAAACTAGTTCTGGGTTCATATTACCTAGTATGAGTTTAGTAAGCTTCAGATTTATTTACAATGACACTCCCATCTCCTACTTGTGTAGCTTGCTAGTCTCCCGTTTGTGTGAGCCACAGAGACCACTAAGTAGGATAGGTTGCATACCTCTAACTGTGGTTCTTTGAGTAGTCATCTGTGAACTTGCTCACACAATTCCAGCCATCTGCCTCTCATTGTGTCCTGACTGTCATTTGGATTGCTGCATTGGCATCCATGGAACTGGTGGTTTTAACAAGAAGGCTCCTATATAGGGGTACTGGAGGTGGGCGGGTGTACCACCAAAATGCTTATGTAATGCTCTACAGGGGTAGGCAACCTTTCCCCTTTACGGGCCGAGGGACTTCAGCTCCCAGAAGCCTCAGCCATGTTGGCCAATAGCTCCTGGGATTCTGGGAGCTGAAGTCCCTCGGCCCTTAAAGGGGAAAGGTTGCCTACCCCTGCAAGAAGGTTTCAAAAGGTGCACTGAACACAGGACAATCCATTTGTGTGAGTTCACAGATGACCACTCAAAAAACCAGAGTTACAGTTATGCAACCTGCCCACTCACATCTTCTGTGTCAGAGTCCAAAACTCTGCTCATTATAGCATAATGGAGATCAATTACATAAATTATAATTCCATAATTTGTGGTTTTTAAAAACACCTGCTCTGGACTATCTCCAGTCTTATCAGTAGAGATTTTTTAAAAAGAGAGAGAGAGGGAGAACATGAAAACTTGGAGACAAATCAAATTATTATCTCAGACACAAATTTTCACAGGGAATCACATACTCCATTTGATAGAGACAACTTTATTGTCATCTTTCCTGTTATTATAGTGACGTTTTATGAAGATTGTCATCATGCTTGGAAAAGAAGGATATTAGAAATGGAGAGTGGACAAATTAGAAAAAATTGTGTCAAAGAAGAATCTTAGGTTTTTTAAATTATTGTTGTGCTGTATGTCATAGTTTTAACTTGGACTGATTTAATAATAATGTTTTAAGGGGGGGAAATCTGACTTGTTTGTATTATGTAATATTTATTGTTGTTAGCCGTCCCAATTAATCTCAAAGGGATGGGATATAAATAAAATTTATTATTATTATTTATTATTAGTGGATGCATTCTGAATGAGCTTGAGACCAGAGCCAGCTGACCAAAAATTGTTCCTAGCCACATGGCAAGCTCAATGTACATTAGAGCCTTCTACATGACAAAGCAGTCATCTGATTATCTTGTCACAATGCCAGATTGATTTTAGTACACAATGAAATAGTCTATTCATGGTCTGAAAATCAATTTGGATGTATGGTGTACAAAACAGGCAAGTGCATGGTTGTATGATGAGAGACAGCTCATATTCAACTGGGACAATTTTGAGGCATGTGAATGGATTGTTGTATTCAGAAAAGACTTCAGTTTTGCCACAGTGTGGCTAATGACCTACAATAATTCAGGCAGCTACCAAAGCCAAAGAGATGAAACAAACAGTGGCAAATCAGCCAAATATCACTCACACTAGTACTCAGATGTCTTTGCCAAGCAAAGAAACAAAGGGGGGAGGGGAGTAAAAACTGGTATCTAAGAGGAGTAAAATGGGTATCTACTCCATGCTGTATTCATTAGGTATCAGTACATTTCAGTGGAGAAAATTTATTTACTGCCCATATAGGCGATTATTTAACAGATCAGCTAATTCATAATGCCTTTTAACCACTGTGTTATGCCTTCAAAGGATGTAATTGAATGTTGAGAGATAAATAGCAATTATTGGCAAGTAATTTGCCCTAGTGATTGTAAGATCAGTAACAGAAGGAGGTAACATCTTTCTATTCATTAGCACTGAATATAATTCTATGAGCTTGAGTATGGTATTCCCAAGTGTGATCATCCTTATTCCAACTTTAGAGTAGCTACATTATTTAAATAGGATGTATATAATGGAGTACCTAAATTCTTTATGTAACTTTGGAGTAGCTACATTCTTTAGATAAGATTCCCACCTTTATTCTAACTTTGGAGTAACTACATTCTTTACATAAGATGTGGCTTTTTTGGGGGGGGGGGGGGTTGAGACCTCATTCTGAAAGAAACTTCCAAGCCTAATAGATTCTCTGGTGCAGGAGAGTAATCCAATTTTAAATTCAGAATAAGTTATTTATACTGATTCAGCTGTAAAGGTTAGAGTTCTGGTCTGGGACTTGGCAGATTGTAGTGCCCACTGATCCATGCAAAATCTGGGTGACTCTCACAGTCACTTTTACTGGGTTGTTGTGAGAATACAGGGTGTAGCCACATTGCAGAATTAATGCAGATGGAAGTCACTTAAACTGCCATGATGCTATCCTACAGAATCCTGGGATTTGTAGTTTGATGAGTATTCATCAAACTGATGCCTCACCAAACTACAAATCCCAGGATTCTGTAGGATGGAGTCCTGGCCGTTAAAGTGGTCTCAGGCTGCTTTAATTCAGCAGTGTGGCTACATATACCACTTTGAACTCATTGGGGTAGGGTATAAATACAACTACATAATCATAATACATCTTGTTGTTGTGTGCCTTCAAGTCGTTTACAACTCATGGTGACCCTAATGCAAACCTATCATGGGTTTTTCTTGACAAGATTTGTTCAGAGGAGATTTGCCATTCCATTCCTTTGAGGCTGAGAGAGCGTGGCCTGCCCAGGGGCACCAGTGGGTTTCATGGCCAAGCTGGGAATTGAACCCTGATCTCTAGAGTCATAGTCCAGCACTCAAACCACTACACTACGCTCAGTGCTATTTACTCTGACTTGCAGACATTCTTCTGAGTTTCAGGTACGAGTTTTTCTGTAGTCTTACCTGGAGATATCAGGTAATAAATCTGTGTGCAAAACATGTGCTGAGTTTTATAACTCTTCTGCAATTTAAATAATAAATTTGTAATATCTTATTTATGTTAAACAGTAGAGAGAAAATAAAGCTTTGGAGAAAAGCAATCATTTATGGTAGACTAGCCCTTGATGGTTATGGTAGAACAACAGCAGATTTGCTGGGGTAAATTTCAGTGTTCACTGACAATTCATTTTCGAAGTGTTTACCTATGCTTGCACATGAAAAGGCTGCCTTGAAAAGGGATACCACAGAGACATTGAACCAGCTAACATGGAAACACAACTCACTATTTGTATTCAGGCTGCCATGTCTCAAAAGCAAGCCATGTTCTTTTTTTTTGCTGTATTCATCTGTTACTTGAACCATTTTTGAAACCAGGTGGAGATGACATTGTCAAACCTTGCTATGAATTTGGAAGAACATGTTTCAAGCAGTGGGTGATTTTATTGTGGCTGGTACCCTACTTGTGCCCAAACCTGAGCTAAAATAGTTTTCTGACAGTGACTTATTATGTGTAGGATACAAAGAGGGGTTTTGTTGAACAAATCTTGCAATATCATGAAGGAATAACTGGATTTTAAAGGAATAGCCATCCAGGAAAGGATGCAGGATTACAGGATATTTCCAATAACTGGTGTTCTGAACCATAGCCAGTTGAGCTAGGTAATTTTAGACTTTGAGTTTAATGCAACTAGAAGAAGCTCCTCATATGGCCATGTGCGTTGTTTAGTTGTGAAGCACATAACTAACATTTCTCTTCTTCTGTCCCCAGCTTACTGCTATGATTTTTGTGCTTACCTCTGCTTCTATATACCTGTTATACCAGAGCAAAAAGAAGAACAAAACACTGTTTGCCAACCCTGATAAAAAAGGGAAGAAATACAGTGCACGTGTACAGTTTTGTATTTTAAATTCAAATGAGAATACCATTGTGATTACAGAAATAGAATGGAATGTGTTTCTGTTGTCCTGATGCTAAAAGCATTTACCTTAGAATGAGCAACATTTGGTTGTATAAAGGGGAAATATTACTTAGGAGTAAAACCAATAGCATGAGTATGTCTGCAGGGTTGGCTACTTCCTGACTATAAAATGCTTTTAAAAAATAAGAAGAAAGATTATTTGGCAAATAATATCAGACCAAGATAATCCTAACATGCTCATGTTGGCCCAGGTTCTGATGCTGGGAATGTGCACTGCTGATTGTATCACTTTCTGCTTTCTAGATCACACACAAATGTGTGGATTTGATTTAATAATAATAATAATAATAATAATAATAATAATAATAATAATAATAATAAATAATAATATGTTTCAGTTTCCTTTTTAGAAAAAGGCAACTCGCAATAATAAATATTTGCAACAAAAACAGCAGCAGTAATTTTTTTTAAAAAAAAATGAGTCAGAAGATGGAAAAAATGACTAATAATAATAAAATAAGAGAACAGAGGTGTTCCTTGACAGTCTTCCTTTTCTGGAATACCTTGGGTGGGGCATTATTATTATTATTAAATCTGTGCCATCACAAAAAATGTCATGTTTCTAACACAACCTAGTTTACTTCCTTGAAACAGATTGTAGCATTTTCCCCCAGCCAATCAGGTAATAGTGTCCTGAAAGGGATCACAGTTTATTAATATAAAATTATTCGGCTAATAAAAATGGGCACGGTGAAAGAAAAGAAGAAAATAAATTTCTACTTAAAGAACCAGGCTTCACATCAAAATTCGACCTTGTCACCTGGCATACTGCATCTGCACAATTCTGCAGGTTCTGCTAAAGAAAAAGCCTGCTTGGAAAGGTACCTAATAATACTAACCTAGGACTTATCTCACCAAAAACTCCCCAGAATGTGAGTCAGTCTGGTCTTTTAGTCAGAGAAAAAAAGAAAAGGAAAGCAGCTTATATGGTGATGCTGCCAACAACAACAACAACAACAACAACAGCAAAAACACATCATCATCATCATCATCATCATCAAAACTTATTTTCCAACATGGCCCTTACTGTATTCTATGAACTACACAAATTGTGCAGATGATGCTTATTTGCTTACATCTGCTTATTTGGATAATATGTGCTTTGGTTTTATTTAGGTAATATTTGAGTGCTTATTGCAGTCAGTGGCTGAGACAAAGTTATATTTAGATGAAAACCTTCCCCTTGACTGTAGTAAATCTTGCTGAGCAAAAGACCAAAAGCTCTGGCTAAATAAATGCATATTATCAATGCCAAGGGCACTATTATTATTGTTTTAGAATAACCAGTATTAAATAGCAAGTTACATAGGGCTTGAAGAATTCTAGTCACTAGCACTAACAAGATTTCTTACATAGTTAATGAAAAAATATTTCAGAATGTTAGAAACCAGTACAAAATATGTAGTTGTGCTGTACGGAGTTGGGAAAAAAATGTTTAAAAGTCCTAGATGCCAGATACCTGGGATTTTTCCAGCTCCAAATTAAGCCTTGTGAACACAATCTATGGTAAAGGAAATATCATTTCTGATTTGCAAGTAAAATGTTAATACCCATAAAGATTGTGTTTATGCTTCATTTACAGCAAAACTAGAGGTGAAATTTAAAATAATAACTTGCCTCCAGTTCCCTCTTTTGTTTCTGTAACCGCCAGTAAGAAAAATGTGTGATGTGATCAGATCAGGGCCACCTTGTTGCTCTCCAGAAACTGACTGATCTGAACTTGGAGAGTGTGAATACTGGTTCTGAATATGGAGATTCTTGCAGCCATAATGACTAATAGCTATCTGTAGGTAGCTGTCCTTTATGCATTTGTCTAAACCAGAAGCTAACAGTCCACCCATCGTTTAGCTGCAAATTTTATTCAGTTGTTAAACACACACACACACACACACACACACACACACGTTGTGCTGGTGTATGAGCAAAACATCCAGAACTAAGGTAGAAGTAATAGCCATGAGGTTTGCAGTTAGTTCCAATATGGAGCTTCCAGACAGAATAAATTACCAATAAGCATGCAGAAGTCAGGCTATACTTAGCAATGCATACTGGGACACAGCATCTATGATAATTTTTAAAAACAGCAATGCATACTGGGGCACAGCATCTATGATCATTTTTTAAAACAAGCAATTCATACTGGGGCACAGCATCTATGATCATTTTTTTTTTTTAAAACAAATGCTATTTGCAGATCAGAGTTTTGTCACCTGCCTACAGTGAAATGCTTAAGTTCCAGAGTTATAATGCTGTGCATCTAAACACAGTCCAATACAAAATCTTCCTTTTTTTAATGAATGGTGGTGTAATGGAGCCAGGGCTTTACAGGGTCTGTGAACATTTTGGTTACCCAGGATGATGGCATCATCTGCCACTCTCCCCATTTTAGGCTTTTTGGTCTTCATAGTAGCTGAAGAGTAAATTGATTTTCCAATCAACAATATATTGTTGTGAATTGTCCCTGTTGGAGTAGTCATACACTTTAAAGTTGGCTCTAAATTATGGTGATCCAATCATAGGGGCAAGATTTATTCAGAGGTTTGCCAATACATTATTTTAGGGTAGGGAGAGAGTAGGTTTCTATGGGTGAGCAAGGATCCAAAACCTGGTCTCTAAGAGTCCTGGAGCTCAACATTCAAACCACACCACCACCATGCTGGCTATTCTTTTAGTAATATAAATTGTTTTGGATGGTTTGGTCTTGAATGGGCAATTAAGACTTATTTGTTATACAAAATACCTGCCCTGGGGATGATTAGGACACTAGAATTGGTTTGTTGATGTAGGTCAGCAAAGCTGCGTGACATTCTCTTTCAAGATGGAAACAGTCATGATGTATCACTACCTTAATGTTAATTGATATTGTAAAATAAATACATAAATAAATAAAACAAAGAGAAGAGTTTTAACCTGATGATAGATGACTAATGTATGTCTGATGATCATAACACCTGGCCTCCAAGCAGTTTCATGCAATCTAATCTCCCTTCTATAACAGGACAACAGATTTGAGATGAATTGATAAATTCCAGCTCAGGAGAGTGACTTGTCACAAAAGGAGTCTAAAAGCTGGGCTGGGTGCCAGGCACTCAGGGAGTTTTGCACTGAGAGCCTCCTCAAGATTTATGGCTGTCTTTGCTTTCATCCTAATGAGTAATGAGATATAAAAACAGAAAATAAAAATGATATGAGATATCCTTATAGGGACATCTGATAAAAAAGAAATGAAATCTGTCCACTATTATGCATAACTCTGTGTAGGAAGGGTGAGTCCTCCCATACCCTTGTTTAGTATGAATGAATAAATGAGAGATTCTATCCATATCTGATAAATTTTGTTTCTCTGTGCAAGAGGTAGTCCTGATGTGAGAGATTTTTCATTTTTTTTTATCTTGTCCTTCTTTCAAGGCGTCCAAGAGTGATAGCTCTGTTGTTGTTGTGTGCCTTCAAATCATCTCCAACTTATGGTTACCCTAAGATGAACCTATCACAAGGTTTTCCTGGCAAGATTTGTTCAGAGGGGATTTGCCTTTGCTTTCCTCTGAGGCTGAGAGAGTGTGACTTGCCAAAGCTCATCCAATGGGTTTACATGGCCATGCAGGGATTCAAACCCTAGTCTCCAGAGTCCTAGTCCAATGCTGAAACCACTACACCATGCTGGCTTTCACAGCATATTTTAGCCTAACATTGAAGTAGAGATTTGCCTAAGGATACCTGATGAGTTCCACCGATGAGCAGCAGTACTCTCTTCACTGGACTTTCCTGACTTTCTTTTCAAAGCAAAAGCAAAGCAGCTTCATTTTATATGCCATTTCATATCACGCTATGGGATATCTAAGCGGTTTACAACTGTAAGCTCATTGCCCCCCAACAGTTGGGTACTCATTTTAGCAACTTCAGAAGGATGCAAGCCTGAGTC